TTTTCAAGGTGGTATGTTTTAATTGAAACACCCTGTATATTTTGTTATTTGCTCTTGTGCTTTTACTGTATTCAAGTTAATTCAGTTTTAGTTTCCTAAAAATCAAAATCAAATGAAGTGATACCAAAATTCTAGGTATGCGAAAAATATCTCACTTCCTAGACAATATTCTTAGCTGATAATATTGAATGTATCTAAAGTTATTTTGCTGAATGAATCAAATTTATGTGGCAATTATTGATCCAGTATATGCACTTGTATTAGGTACTGTTATACTTGGCTTCTTGTACGGTCAATAGCATCGTGTAAAGTTAATGGGATATGGTTACGTTTTTACTTTATTTATTTGAGTATTTTGCACCTGTGAAAAAAAATTACCTAATCAAATAAACCCCTGTGCGGAAAGGATGTCACGATCCGCAGGCATTTTTATTTAAATTTTCGGCAAAAACTATTACAGACACAACATAATTTGACAACTATCTTGACAAAATGTCAAGTTATTTTAATTGTTTTTGGAGTGTTTCTGCTCATGGCCAATTTGATAACAGATCTGATACAAGAAAAACTTCAAAAAAATAGAAAATTGCAAATATCTCTAAGTAGTAAGGCAAACCTAACAATGCTTATATGGCTAGAAAGGAAATTTCAATATGCAACCGACAAAATAAAAAAATACAGGGTGTTCCATAAAAGTTAACAAAGTTATAGCTGTTTGAAGTTATCAAAATGTAACAACAAAAATGAACCACCTAGTATTAAATATTTTAATTTATTGATGTAGCATAATCTAGTTTTACCTATGCACTTTACAGGTACCAAAAATTCACTTGATATCACGCTCCTGAAAAGGGTTACTAGTATCTCCGCGGTCCTCTGCATTATTTGTCAAATTTTTTCATTAAAAATTAATATCTTAAAATCTATAACTTCAAATTTCACGTAGAATCCAAAAATGCAATAATATATAGGGTGTCCCAATTAAAATAAGAAACTTAATGTCAAAGTGCCATAGGGTTCTAAATAACGAGCGTTCAAATAAAAACGTGGTCAAGTTGGTTCTGAAAATTTGGACGTAGGGCGTAGCGTATAGCAAATGAACTTAAACGTCATCTGTCAAAGCGCTATATCGCCGCTATCAATTTGAATATTTTCGTTTTAAAAAGCGTTTAAAATGGTGTTTTCTCAAGAACAAAAAGTGTTTATCATAGAGTCCTACTTTAGAAATGGACGCAAGTTTGATGGAATATGGAAGTATTCTATTGAGGAATGTTTCAGAGAATTTCAAAATCAATTTCCCGGCGTTGTTGAGTACAAAATTTTTCAAAGTGCAGTTCAGCGTTGTGTTAATGTTTTTCGTGAAACGGGCAGTGTAACAAGAAAGGAAGGAAGCGGCCGACCTAAAAAGCGGACTGAAGAATTAAAAGAAAATGTCCCAACAAATAATGGAAAATGCGCCAAGAACTTCTGTACGTGTTTTATCACAAATGGTGGGAGTATCAGTCGGTACCTACCACACAGTGTTAAAAAAAGATTTGCGTTTGTTCTCCTATCGTTTAACTTGTCAGCAAGAACTTCATGAAGTTGATTTTCCGCGACGGGCTGTATTTTGTGAATGGTTTTTAAACAACTACGGTGAACTTCATAATATCACCTTTTTTTCTGATGAAGCCTGGTTTCATTTAAGTGGTTACGTAAACTCACAGAATATGAGAATGTGGTCTTCTGAAAAACCAGATAACTTTTTTGTCGAGGGCCCTCTAAACGCTCAAAAAATTGGAGTTTGGCGTGCTCTCAATCGAAGGAGGATCTATTTTTTTAATGATACTCTTACTGCGCAAAGGTATAGAGAAGAAATTATCGCTCCTTTTGTTAACCAGCTGGAAGAAAACGAAATTACAAACTTTTACTTTCAACAAGATGGCGCAAGGGCACATACGGCAGGCGAGACGATGAATATGTTCAGGGAAGTTTTCCAAAATCGACTAATAAGTCTCAATGCTGAACATGAATTTCCACCGAGGTCATGTGATATTACGCCGTGTGATTTCTTTTTGTGGCCTTACCTTAAAAACACTATTTTTGAACTGCCTATTCCTGATTTAAACCATCTGCATGCTCGATTTATAGAGAAGATTCGTGAAATTAACAATACCCCGAGCATCTTAGAAAATGTCTTTAATTCTTTGAGGAACAGGTGTGAAAAGTGCTTGGAACAAGGAGGGGGACACTTTCAGCAGCTGCTTTAATTTATTGTTATAACAAGGAGGGGGACACTTTCCGCAGCTCCTTTGTTTGTTATTGTTATCAAGATTATTTTTTAAAATAAAGTTATATAGTCATTAACGTTATTGAAACTGACAGCTGCTATACAGCTCGTTGAGAAATGAGGTTAAGTTGGTCGCTATAAGCTACTCCCTACGTCCAATGTGTCAGAGCCAACTTCGACCACGTTTTTATTTGAACGCTCGTTATTTTAGCCGTGTCGGCCCTGCTGCATTTGCTAGGTTGTCAAATTTTCAGATTTATCGGATCAGTACTTTCCGAGATATCGATAGTGGCAATTCCTGGTGGGACACTCTGTATAAACAGTTCTTTCTATTGAAATAACATTTTTTAAATTAAAATATTTAGAAAAGGTAATGTATTATTATTTTTGAAGTAAATTTAAATTGGTTCTTTATTACTAATAGTATCTAGAAAATATTTAATTCATTCAAGGAAAGCGTACAAATTGCAAAAATATGGTGGGCTTTTTAATTAAATTGTTAATTTAATATTCTTCAACAAAATGGTGATGACAATGAACCCAAGTAGATTTTATACATAATCTTAGTAATTCCATTAGGTATGCATCCTATACTTCAATTAGTTTCATGTGCCACATTGTTATCATTTTCTAATTTATCTTTGATAATATTTAATGTTTTATCTACTGGACCTACTGGTGAATAGATCTATTAGTGAATAAACTAGACTGCAGATAGATGTCATTTGTTACGACCATTGCTTTGTTTTCTTGAGGTTGACATTGAAGCACCGTGCTCCATTGCTGGTAGCAGTGCTATTCTGTTAATGAGAGAATATTTTGAATTATGATCGTGACATTCAAATACTTTTAAATGATTTTCGTTAAAAATTAGACAATCCCTTTGTACTAGGAGATTCATTCGTATTTGAGTGGCCACTTTTGAAATGAGAAAATGGTTTTAGTATTATACTTTCTCAAGGGGTGACTTCCCTGCAAACATTCAATTGATTCACTTCATTTTTCTTTGTGATAATAGGTACTAATCTTCTTAAAGATTGAAGACGTATTCAGTTAAATAGAATATTATATTAGAACGACGGTTATAAATTCCAATCGATTAATTTCTACAGCACTCTTGTCATGGTATTAAAAAACCTGCGATTTTCTCCCATAAACGTGATATCAATTAATTTCATACCGAGAAAGTAGATAATTTATTAAAATACGATATAAAATAAAATATTTCTGTACGCGTTTTTACTGATGAACATCTGAAAACAATATAAATCTTAATTAGCAGACATTTAATGTCTAACGGTGTGTAAATATTACCATATCTGATAATGAATTTGCCTACAAATGTTAAATTTTCCGGTTATTTCTAAACGGGTTATTCCTTTTTCCTTATTACGTATGTACGTACTTTCTTATGGAGAAATTCGTCGTTAGGGAAATATAAATAAGTCTTCCACTGACTTTTCTGAAGCATTTATAAAACTTTATTAATCCACAGGAAAAATTATTTTTTCATAAATTTTAAATAAAAATATACATGGTGTTTGTTAAGTACTTGTACAAACTTTAAACCGTGAATCTTGACTAAAAAGTTCTTATGAACATGGGTCTGCAACGGCTAGGTTCTTGAGATACAGAGCGTCCAAAAAAATGTTCATATGAACTTTTTATCTTAAAATTAGTTTCAGTAGGCATGTTTAGATTCATTTGTGGCGTAATAATACAGCACGGTGTTTTAACTACCTAAATATAATGTTATAAATAAATACCGAAGTAAGTAAATAATATGACTGTGTATATTATTCATATAAATCTCTAGGCATATCTTGTTTTCAAGTAATTGTAGAGTATGAAAAACATCAATAATAACCCCACTGAACTTTGCCTTTGCTTATTTCACTAATTGTTTTACATTATATTTTTATAAGTGTAGATTATTGCGCTGTTGCAGGGTGTCCCATTAATATTGCGAAAAAATTCAGGGGTAGTTTCCTTGACCAAAAATAAAAAAGAAAGTTCCTATAAACCTATGTCCGAAAATGCTTCGTTTCGGAGATACAATTTATTGAAATTTAGAGAAAATACAAGGTTTTACTAATATCTGGAGAACCCTAATTCCGATTTTTTTGAAATTTGATATGTTTGCTTATATAAACGGTAGACGTCTTCTGACGTAATTTGATTTATTATTTATTCCAGCGGCGTCCGGGGACTCACTCCTGTTGATATTAATAAGTAAACATTTGAGACGTCACTGCTTTTTCTTAGGTGTCATATGTTTTTCTAATTATGCGATAAAAAATTCAACTTTTTTGTCTCTTTACTTTTTTTGATATTTTGCTTCGTTTTCGAGCAAAAAATTAATAGCTTGTGTGTGATTTTAATAAGTACTTGAATTGTGTAGTTGTCAATTCCTGCTTGCCAAAATGAATTACACAATAGTACATTGTGTAACGAGTGGGGAAAAGTTGCCAATAGCGCCACGCGGACGCAGTTGACGCACGAGCGAAGAAGGGGGGGAAAGCGCCCAAGTAGCGCTATGGCAACTTTTCCGAACGAGTTGCACATACTATTTTCTATCACAAGTGCGAGTCGTTATGGGACCTATAGTGTAGGAGGTTAGGTGCACGGAAAGTGCTAGATAGTACAACAGCGTGATGTTATTTTCATAGCGCAACGCTCAGCTAACCTCCTACAACACTATAGGTCCCATAGCGAGCGCGCGTGACAGAAATAGTGAAATGTGCGATATGCATTTTCTTTATGGCCTTGCCAACGGTAATGCATTAGCCGCAAGGCGCCTCTATGAGCAGAAATACCCTAATCGTATAATTCCTCATCATACTATCATCACCAGTCTTCAACAACGTCTTAGTGAAACTGGAAGTTTTCGAAAACTTACCGCAGAAAACGGGCGACCCCGCACAGCAATAACCCTACAATTGGAGGAAGATGTACTTCATGAAATTGAGGACACTCCAACAACAAGTACCAGACAGATTGCTAGAAACTTAAATGTAAGTCGTTTTACAATTTTCAGGATTTTAAAAAATAATTTTCTATACCCTTATCACATCTAACGGGTTCAGGCACTTTTACCGACTGATTTTCCGTTAAGATTAGATTTATGTCGATGGATACGACAAAAAATTGGGGAAAATCCTCAATTTTTAGCCGAACTACTATTCACGGATGAGGCGAATTTTTCTAGAAAAGCCATAATGAACTTCCTTAATAATCATGTATGGGCGGACGAGAACCCAAATTCTATATTAGAAGACCGTCATCAACACCAGTTTTCACTTAATGTATGGGACGGAATTATGCGAAACCACGTAATAGGCCCATTTTTTTACCACCGAGGCTTACTGGAGATGTTTATCGCCGTTTTCTTGAGGATGAATTGCCTGTAGTTTTGGAAGACATCCCATTGCCAGTAAGATTGCAAATGTATTTTATGCACGATGGTGCTCCACCCCATTTCAGTTTAGCTGCATGTGAATATTTGAACAATATCTATCCAAATCACTGGATAGGTCGAGAAGGTACTCAACCCTGGCCTCCAAGGTATCCCGACTTAAATTCGTTGGATTCTTTTGGGGTCACCTCAAACATTTGGTTTATACGACTCCAGTGCAAACCATAGACGAATTAAGAAACCGCATTGTCGCATCCTGTGAAACAATTGGACACAGCCGAAATGTTTGAACGGGTTCCCCAATAATCAATGTGTCGTAGGATAGATGCCTCTATTAGGGTTGAAGGTGCACATTTTCAACAACTGTTGTAACGCCTGTGTATGTAAAGTAGTTTTCATATCATTGCTGTTTGTTAAATATTTTTTCTTGTGTTTCTGTTAATATTAATTAGGTATTTAAAAAAATATTATTTAGTGAGTTATTGTTTCTCAGATTGTTACATTGTTTTACAATAACATACAAGTTGATTAGTAAATAACTAAAACATTGAATTTCTATTTTTGTTTTCTACTTCCCTTAAGAATGTGCATATGAAAGGATAATAATTTTTTGCTCAAAAACGAAGCAAGATATCAAAAAAAGTAAAGAGACAAAAAAGTTGTATTTTTGATCGCATAATTAGAAAAAAATATTACACCTAAGAAAAAGCAGTGACGTCTCATATGTTTACTTATTAATATCAACAGGAGTGAGTCCCCTGACGCCGTTGGAATAGATAAAATAAATCAAATTACGTCAGAAGACGTCTACCGTTTTTATAAATACACATACCCAATTTAAAAAAAAAATCGAAATTAGGGTTCTCCAGATATTAGTAAAGACCTTGTATTTTCTCTAAATTTCAACACCCTGTATCTCCGAAACGAATCATTTTCGGACATAGGTTTATAGGAACTTTCTTTCTTATTTATACAGTAAACTCCCCCTGAATTTTCGCAATATTAATGGGACACCCTGTACAGTGCGACTTTTATCATTTTATATACAATATTTATTTTTTATTACAAAAAAAATTAATTTAAACGTGTGTACTAGGCATCTTTGGAATCAAATAAAGTACAGTATTTCCTTACTGCTAATATTTGCCTATGTCAAAGATCCAGAAGTAATTAAATCTTAATTAACTAGGGTTAGTATCTATGTGTAAATATTTATAACAACTTTTACTTTTTTTATTACGAACATCATAATATGTTATGTACCTATCTCTAGCTTTATGAGCAACTAATTTTTTTGCGTAATATAAAGAAGTAAAGTGTCCTTTTAGTCCTCATGGATTAAATCTACTTTAATCCTTTTAACAAAAACATAAAATTATTTAATAATGCAAATGAAACTTTTTCCAAGTTAGTATTGACAAAATCATGGCATCCAGATTTTTTGTCCTCTGGATAGAAAAATGCAGTTTAGCTTAATCTATAAACTATACTTAATTAATTTTGAAAATTTTATGTACAAATTTGGAGACACGGACATATCATCGTTTTCCATTGTAACGTCGTTTTAATCTCTAATTAGATTTAACCTCCGCTTAAAATTGTTTATTTTTAGATTAAACATAAAAAAACCTTGTCATTATTATTTTACTATGACTCTGCAACTTATTTGGAACAGATTAGTATTAAAACTTAGCTAATGGTAATATTATTTATTTTAAAGATAATTGAATTTTTTGTTAAAGAAGTTCATGTATTTAACATAAACTTTTCAATGTACAATTCACTATATTTTGACCCCCCTGCCCATTTGCTATATGATTATGCTCGGAGGAAACGTTCTATCCAAATATGTAAAAATATACAGGGTGTTCCATTTAACTTAACAAAGTTAACATCCGCGGCCATTTTGTTTGAACCTCATTTGTTTTTCAAATATCATTTTCGAAAAATTATAAAAAAAATCGTGCAATTTTTGTATTTTACATTTTTTATAAGTCTTAAAACAAAAAAGTTAAAGGGAGGTCAAAATATAGTGAATCATCCTGTACTTGAGCACATTTCAATTAGTGAAAAGTTAATGGTATGTAAGTTATGTGATATTGATATTATGTTTTGGTAATTCCTCTTTCATTGTGTGACAAAATAGCCAAAATGTACATTATTTTATTTGTCAAGAAACATTCTATAATGTAATCAGTTTAATAATACAGGATATATAGTCAAGAATGGGCGATAATAATAAACAAACTTAAGACAACTTTCCTTAATACAATTCTGTTTCCTTAAAAACGGACCTACAAAGATTTTTATTTATTTTTTTTTTTGTTATAATACGATACGTGTGTTTTCGACTCGTGTTAACTTATTTTTAAAAAATAATGTTTATTTTATATAGGAAAAAATACAGTTTATTTCTAAGTGCTGTTTTACATAACAGAATGAAGATACACGAAAATTGTGACCAATTTTAATAGAAAGTGTGTAAAAATATTAGATATATAATATAGTATTCAATTTTTATTTATATTCTTTTAATTATGTATTTATTTAGCATTTTATCGTGCTATTTATTGTGCTATGCTATTATAATTATTAGCACTCGTTACTCGGTACTCATATTTAGACGAGTTCACCCTGCAATAAACTGACTAAATATTTATTAGAAACTATTAAATCTCTTGCTCTCATACCGCAACACATAAAACACAACACAACATAAAACAAAAACACAACATTTCTTGGAAAAACTTTCATCTAGCAATTTCAATATAAATCATTTAATACTGATGTAGTTAATATATTTACCAATGTTCCGGTAGATAAAACATTGCCAAAACGAATTACAGAACGCTATGAATTTAAAAAACAGATCAAAGTTAAAAATTTAAATACAACGAAATTACTATATGTACCTATACAGGGTGTTTCAGAAGATCTCCCGTAAATACAGGGGTCGACAGTACGACAAAAAATAAGAATTTTTTGACTTATGAACTATATGTCTATCTCCTTTTGTTTTCGAGATACAGAGCGACAAAATAAAAATTTTTAAATAGAATTTTTACGAAAATTTCCAAACGGTGCGAAATTTGGAATTCCTGGATTTTTAAGGACGCCAAATACGCTGGTCTAGTTATTTTTTGTATATTTCATAGAGGGCGCTAGTTACGCTACATTCCTATTCTATTACATTTTAGGTTCTAGGTTTTTTACCATTCAGGCTGCAATTTCTAATGTATAATTCTATTTTCTAAAAATAATGGACTCTTGTTAGAACTTTCTAATGTGGACGGTTTTCGAGAAAAAAAGGCTTTTAATTGAACTCACAATATTACGGTGTATAAGATAAGTGACTTTTCTCAAAGTAGGCTCATGTCAAAACTTATTGTGAATGTCTCATAAACACATACATTCTTAGTAATATTTTAAACTCTAATTAACTTTATATTAAAATTTTAATGATTTTTAGTGTCTGTAGTTAGAAATGACTAATTAAAGTCACTGTATTTACGGGAGGTCTTTCTGAAATACCCTGTATATGGAGGGCTCAGAAGTCAATCAGTGTAAGTCACTGAATATAGAAAATGAGAAAATTGGCTATTTGTAAAACTGGTAATAAAATAAAGATTCCCGTAAAGATACTAATAATTATTTTTATTGAGATAAACATTTCATACATTCATACATTTTATGCATCATTAACTTTAAGAAGAAACCAATTTGAAAAGTGACTTACACTGATTGGCTTCTGAGCCCTCCATATGTATAAAAACAATATATTTTCAATTAAAAGAAGATTTCCATCAAATAAAATTCCAGAATGGTTGTGAAATCATTTCTGTCTCCAGTAGCAGTAATATATGTACAATATATTGAGATGTATGGAAATGTGATGTGAAATTTTTTTAAAACAGAATATTAATGTATTAAAAATTGCATATGAGAAAGGGGTATAATTGAAAGAAGGAAATATCTGACAGAAGTCGCTTGTCATAAAATTAAAATGTAATGATAAAATTGAATTGATTTTTTTTTAATGTGAAAGTATTGTAAAATAGTATTAAGTAGAGAAAATAGTGAACAATGAAAAATTAAAATGTGAAAACAGAAGTGCGGTTACTAGGAGACAAAAAAAGAAAAAAAGGGAGTTAGTTGATTTTCGAAAATTTCAAGGAAGGAGAATTAGAATCATAAAGATGAGAGAAATACTAAGAAAGGAGAATTTAAATAATAAAAAGGTTCCGAAATAAATAAAGAAGACAGAAATTGATACATTAACAGGAATTGAAAAAGGTAAAGCATTAACAAACATTAATATTTCAATATTTCCCAGAGGATAGTATTCTGTGGAAGACCAGATACCCAAGATCAAACAGAGTACCAGATGTAATATAGAGGAGCCAATAGATGGTAGCAAGTGTGGAGTATAGCAGTCAGTACGAGGATTGAAGTAGAAATAGGTATAGAAAAATTGAAACAGGAGCACAAAAAGTGAACGGAAGGAGAGAAACTGTCCAAAATTGGAAAATTATTGTAAGACATTTGATCGATAATTATAATTAGAAATAAGACAATTAGTAAATAGTATTGGCGTAGGTT